GCATTTTGTATTCTTCATTGATTTTACCATACTTAGAGTATGGCGTTGAAAACTGGGGAAATACATACAAAAGCTCACTTCAACCATTGTATATATTACAAAAAAGAGCGATAAGAATTGTGCATAAGATGGGGTACAGGGATCACACATGTAGCTTTCATACAGTCTAAATTGTTAAAATTGTTTGATTTAGTGGGATATCAGACTGCTGTGTTTATGTATAAAGCCAGGAACAATTTATTACCTGGTGGAATTCAAAAACTATTTAATGAAAGGGAAGGGGGATACAATTTAAGGGGTCAGTTAAATTTAAAAATTCATGCTATACGTACAACCAAAAAAAGATTTTGTATTTCCATAAGTGGGGTAAAACTATGGAATAATTTAAGTGTGGACATAAAAAATAGTAATAGAATTGATGAGTTTAAACATAAATATAAAGGTATGTGTCAATCAAGATATATGCAAGAACAGGCTTAATGATTAATTAGATGGAACATTGTGGGTGTGGTGTATGAATGTTAACACTTTGTAATAATTCTTTAGTATATTACTTGTGTGGTGTAGAAGAGAATTATTTATGTAGAGATACTTGCAAATCAGTGATGGTAAGATGATGTCATGGGGTAGGACTGGATAAGTCTGACTTCTTCCTACTCCATTCAAGCATGTACTAGGTATAAGCACATTGATATTGGATTAGCATTTGTTGGATATGTGTAAAATTATGTGTGTTGATATATCAACTGTCTTTACATGCTTGAAAGAATAAATCAAATCAAATCAAACCTTAGCTGGCATTAGAAAATCCAGGACTGCTCATTTGATCTGGGATCTGTTTAGCAGGTGCTTTCTGATATCTCTGTGTGTGTGCAGGAACATTGTCTCCACAGTGAACCTGGGTTGTCCTCTGGACCTGAAATTCATTGCCCTCCAAGCCAGAAATGCCGAGTACAACCCAAAGGTACCCAAACCGGACCTCACACTTGTCTGGTTTGGCAGTTTCAGAGGTGAGTTGTGTTGCAGTTGGTCTGTTGCTCATCACTGTGTTGTTTCAGCGTTTTGCGGCAGTCATCATGAGGATCCGTGAGCCTCGAACCACAGCTTTGATCTTCAGCTCAGGGAAGATGGTCTGTACAGGAGCCAAGAGGTCAGTCAGTCTGTGGGTTGTAGCCCTTTTCACCTGTGACATGCTGTCTGTGTTTCCACTGCTCTCCACCCGCGCTGGAGACAAACAGCTGGAACTGCATTCAGGCTCTGCAGGTCTGGCACATCACAGTTTTGCTTGAGTGAGTTGTCTGGTCCCCTGATGGTCACTGTGCGGCCCACGGGGGCCCTGTCTCACACGTAGACCTCTGTAACACCATGACTTTGATTAGCAGCAATGATCTGTCCACTTGGGAGCCCACTAGAAAGACAGTCTCAGGAAATGAGCTTTTCTTAATGGAAATCAGCAGTTGGTGCTATGCCAGAAGATGTGCTGTGTGTTTAAACTGTGCAGTCTGGACCAGCATTTGAAATCTCTACTTGCTGATCAGTGACAAACTCCCACCTAGTGCTGCTCTAAGTCATCATGTCTGCAGGTCTGAGCTCTTATTTTTCTAACCCGCCGTCAGCTGCACTGGTACTTGAGTTGTGTGTGACTGTGTTGGCGGATGGACAGTTTATTAACCCTCTGTCCCCTCTGGGTGTGTTTGAGTGAGGAGCAGTCGCGGCTGGCAGCCAGGAAATACGCCCGGGTGGTGCAGAAACTTGGCTTCCCCGCTCGCTTCCTGGACTTTAAGATCCAGAACATGGTGGCTAGCTGTGACGTCTGCTTCCCCATTCGACTGGAAGGGATGGTACTGACCCACCAGCAGCTCAGCA